AATGGCTTGTTTTAGGTTTGTCACATTCATTGGTTTCACTGGGTCTGTTCTGAGCATGACTGAGTGGTAGGTAGGTCATAACAGTGGTAGCTTTTTAGGAGCCAGTTTAAAGCTAAAAAATACCCAAACGTTTGACGTGCTGACTCTAGGGTAACTTGCTTTTTGCTTATATATTGTCCTGGATAGATGAACTTTTCTTCCTTGTTCAGAATCGTTACTGGCTGTTGTGAGCATCAGCCGGATACAATAAACACTTTTGATAAATATTTTTCTTGCTGTAGAATCGGGGTGGAACTGGGCTGTTAAGGCAGTGTGCGCACACAACAACCCATGATACTGTTTCTTTAAAATTTGTGCTGCTTGTTGATGTAAATATAGGATAATTTTTAAGGTCACATTGTTTCGAAGCAAAAACCCAATGCAAGCAGTGCTCTGGTAAACCATATAGTGGAGAGAGAACATGAAAGAAAAGGTTTTTAAGTAAATAAATAAATCTGCCTTTGGAAATAAAGTAAAGCTAGGTCCATCTGCATCTCCAGAGGCGGAACGGGGAAAGTCCCACCTTTTCTGTAGAGGCCAGCCTGTTTCCCAAACGCAGTTGAAGACTTGTGCTAATGTCTTGAAAGAGCAGCTGAAGCTTAGAGGGAGTTACGCATCTGCCTGTGGCTGTAAGCCAAGACATACTCAAATCTGGCAGAGTTCTTCTTGTGATATATGAAGTGGTGCAAGTGTAATTTCCACTCTACTTCCTTGCTTCCAGACCTCAGGAGGAGCCCACGACTTGGACGGGTTACTTTGGGAAAGTCCTGATGGTCTCCACAAACTACCTGCCTGCCCAGGTGACAGAAATGTTCAACCAAGGCCGAGCTTTGCCACCGTCCGCCTCCCTTTCTGTGGGCACAAAAACATCTGTGCGTTAGCCACGTAAGTACAGAGCGCTGAGTGGGGAGGGGACTTCCCCCCCATCTTTCACAAGCTCCCTACAGGTAGAGATGGAAAGGGAGGCAACGTGACCTTCTGAACATATCTGTGTTTGTTTGTTTTTAATAATCATACTGCATTTGAATAATGCACAAAACCCAGGTTCCTTTGTGCACAATAGTGAGGCCTGTGAGGCTTCATTGATCAGCTGACAGCAAAGTCCTGTGCATGTTTAAAAGGGTAAAGGGACACCTGACTATTAGGTCCAGTTGCGGACGACTCTGCGGTTGCGGCGCTCATCTCGCTTTATTGGCCGAGGGAGCTGGCGTACAGCTTTCAGGTCAAGTGGCCAGCATGACTAAGCTGCTTCTGGCGAACCACAGCAGCACATGGAAACGCCGTTTACCTTCCCGCCGCAGCGGTACCTATTTATCTACCTGCACTTTGACGTGCTTTCGAACTGCTAGGTGGGCAGGAGCAGGGACCGAGCAACGGGAGCTCACCCCATCGCGGGGATTCGAACCGCCACCTTCTGATCGGCAAGCCCTAGGCTCTGGTTTAACCCACAGTGCCACCCACATCCCCCTGTGCATGTTTACTCTGACGTAACTTCCATTCAGTGCAGTTGGACTTACACTGATCTTTGTAAAGTGAACTTGGCTGCTGGGAGGAAAGCAGCAACTTTAAAAACCACACACACATAGTTAAATCTTACATAGTAAGGTTTTTAAACTTGACTAGGATTTACTTGCAGAATCCAGAAGATCCCTCGGCTGCTGGTAGGAGCTGCAGATGGGTACCTGTACATGTACAACCTGGACCCCCAGGAGGGAGGCGAATGCACCCTGATGAAACAGCACAAGTAAGTCTCCTTTTTTTTTTAAATCATATTTATTAAAGTTTCCAAAAATATAAAAATACAAAGAAAAAAAGAAAAAGAAAAAAAGATATTTAAAAGCCTTACTTTCATTGCCTACTTTCTGGGACTCCCCCCCCCCGACTGTATTCCCCTTTCCTTAATTTAGTTCTACAAGCTCTCACTCCCAATTTGAAGCTTAATTTGTTTAACCCACTATCCAAATTGAATTGTACAAATCTTACCACCGTCCCACATCATTAACAAGAAAAGAAAAAAGATTTTCCCCAAGATCCACCCCAGTTCCTTCCACGAATTCCCTATCTTTTAAACACGTCCAAACAAAATAAAATGAAATGATTAAGTTATTTAAAAAATAAAAATAAAAGATATAGAAAAATTCAAAAGATGGTTACACAGCCTTTGGATTTCAAATCTCCCCCTTCCCGGTTTGAATTCCCATATCCATCAGTCTATGCATTATCAGCTTGGAAGTCTCAATTCATGACCAAATTTCTCCCGATTCCATCTTGCCGGTTTTCTTTTAATTTATTAATAATATGTAACTTCAAGTGTCCGATCTAACAAAGGCCTTTAATTTCCTTGATCTTTACCACTCCTCCCGTTGTTCTTTCCGTGTCGTAATCAGTCCTTTGTTCTTCTTTCCTCACTTTCTCAGGTTTCTTGTCCTGTTCAGCTGCTAAAACTTTCTAATTCAGAAATCTGGTATCTCTGCAGAGGTTTGTTATTCAGGAACAAAACTTACGTCCAGTCCCTTCCTTTCTTCAATAGAAAATTCTATTGTCTCCTTTAATGTAAATACCTCTGTAGACAAAATACTATTTCAGTTTTGCAGCTTTCCCAAAAGATAACAAGTCCTGTGCGAATCCCAGAGTATTTTTCCACTTACGACCGTTCTTGTAATATCCCGAAACCCCTCTAGGGGGATTGTAATAACTTTGTATCCTCTAATCCAAAAGTCTAATTGTTGCTTATTTTCCAACAGTTTATATCCATATTGTAGCAAATTGTAGCAAAATTAACCGGCAGAGTCCTCATAACAAAGTCCTCTTTATATTCTCCAACTTTGACAGCCACTTTGACAGCTGTCAAAGTCTCCGTCTCTCTTCACCAGGCTCCACGAATCGCCCCGGTTCCCGGGGGGGGGGGTTGCATTTTTCTTCTCACCCTCCACTCTTCTCCTCCAGCACAGTTCTTATAATTTCCCATCGTGAAATTAATGGTTTTTATCATGAATATACTTCCCTTTGGACCTTGGTTACCCAGTCCTTGTTTTGGAATGCTTACAGTAGGGGGGGGGGATTGACTTCCTTTTTAAATCGCCCCCGCTCGTGCCAAATCCGAAATTTTAAACCTGGTTTCCCAATTACTCACGGGTTGTTGTTAATAGTCCAAATTTTCAATGGAAGAAGTCAGCGCTCTCCGTCGAATGGCATGCGGCTGCGCTCGGCAGGGAAAGCAGAAGACTCAAGCACCACGCCGCTCCCGGCACCCGATCCGAGCCTTTAAAAAGGCTCCTTCACGAGTCGGGAGGGCGCTAATGGTGCAAGCCGAGTCACCCATGTCCACGGACTCCGTGCCCGTGGTTTTTAAGGGTCCCCGCGTCGCCGGCGCGGTAGGACCCAGCCCCTGCCGAGCAGACTCCCTCCGGAGCTCGGAGGGAGTCCGCCATTCGGCGATGGCGCCAACCCGGAAGTCAGCACAAGTAAGTCTCCTGTCCTGCTTCCTTCTTGTGAGATGCTCCCATTTTTTTTTTGTTTTGAGATTTTCCATTTCAGAGCTAGGGTGAAGCATTGCCTCCATACAGGTGGCTGTGGTAGCTTTAATTATGTCACATATTTGTACACCACCCTTCACCAAAGAAAGCTGTTGGGGCAGTGTACATCATATGTAAAACGGTAATGCAGAATAGTAGGCCCAATGCCCTACAACAATTTTAAAAGGTTAGCACAAGGCTGAGCAAAATGTACTGTCGTGAGTTGGGAGGGGTCAGCCTGGATGATGCCCTGAGTCCTTTCCAGTTTTTGGGATCCTGTATCTGTGGCGGTAGAAGGCAGGAGAGCAAGGTTGCCAAACCAGTCCCTTTGTCTAAGCAATGGCTTTGGCTGACCAGCTAAACACAATTTGCATAACCAAAGAATGTGTCGTAGAGCAAATGGGTGGGCCTTTCACCTGCTCTCCTTTAACTGCTAGGTAGGAGAGTCATAGCCAGAGTAGTGTGTGTGAGCTGAGCCAGAAGCAGGCTGGAAGCTGGACACACAGAGATCCGCTTGTGCTGTGCTGGATCCAAAGCTGCGACTGATGAAGGAGACAGATCTGTTAGGGCGTTAGTGCGGCGAGGCCCTCCATCTTAGGCTCACGTTATACAGGTTGTTAATACCTAGCGAGTATTTCAATTTTAACCTGAGGATTGACATTTGTCCAGTTTTAACTTTAATTTTAATTTATATGAATTAATTTTGGGTTGCATTTGAATCGATTGATTGCTTGTTTTTATGCATATTGTATTATTTATATGATGTTAGCCGCTCTGAGCCCGGCTCTGGCCGGGGAGGGCGGGGTACAAATAAAAATTTATTATTATTATTATATGTGTAGATGAAACCATAAAGACAACACAGTCTTTCTTTCTAAGGATTGCATTGGTCACCGTTCGCTCTCTGGTTCTTCCCATAGGCTGGATGGCAGCATGGAGCCAGGCAATGAAATCCTAGAATCTGCATCGCACGACCGGCCGCTAGTTGCACAGACGTACAGCACTGCTGTGACTAAAGGTACTTATGTGCCTTCTTCGCCTACAAGGCACGGTAAGGATGGGACCGGGGTGGCTGAGTGAGGAGCCCACAAGCGGGGTGCCCACAAGAGGCAAGTTCCACGTGGCCTTCCCCATAGGGCATGACTCGCCCCTTGGGAGAGGAAGACCACCCTGGTCAAGAAGGCTACTTGAGCCACTTGGCCTGGTCCTTTCGTTGCTCCACTCCTTGTCAGAGGCAAGAAGTCAGACATTGCATCCCCCTTTATTATGAATAAAGCGTTGACAAAGCTTGAATGTTATGTATAAATGGTAATCCAGTCTTTGGGGAACGGGCTGTGATTTAGTGGTAGGACAGCTGCTTTGCATGTAGAAGGTCCCAGGTTCAATCCCTGGCAACATCTCCAGGTTGGGCAGGGAAGGTCCCCCTGCCTGGAACCTCGGAGAGCAGCTGCCAGTCTGTGTGGACTACACTGGGCTAGATGGACCAACCGTCTGACTTAGTATAAGGCAGCTTCCTTCGTTGGTTCCTCTCTCTCTCTCTCTCTCCCTTTCTTCCTTATATTGTTATGGTAATAAATGTATTAAAATGAAATGAAATGGGGCACAGGAATAGGAGTTGCATCAATAGGAGCTGGGCTGCATCAATAGGAGTATAGCATCTAGATCAAGGGAAGTAATAGTGCCACTGTATTCTGCTCTGGTCAGACCTCACCTGGAGTACTGTGTCCAGTTCTGGGCACCACAGTTCAAGAAGGACATTGACAAACTGGAACGTGTCCAGAGGAGGGCAACCAAAATGGTCAAAGGCCTGGAAACGATGCCTTATGAGGAACGGCTAAGGGAGCTGGGCATGTTTAGCCTGGAGAAGAGGAGGTTAAGGGGTGATATGATAGCCATGTTCAAATATATAAAAGGATGTCACATAGAGGAGGGAGAAAGGTTGTTTTCTGCTGCTCCAGAGAAGCGGACACGGAGCAATGGATCCAAACTACAAGAAAGAAGATTCCACCTAAACATTAGGAAGAACTTCCTGACAGTAAGAGCTGTTCAACAGTGGAATTTGCTGCCAAGGAGTGTGGTGGAGTCTCCTTCTTTGGAGGTCTTTAAGCAGAGGCTTGACAGCCATATGTCAGGAGTGCTCTGATGGTGTTTCCTGCTTGGCAGGGGGTTGGACTCGATGGCCCTTGTGGTCTCTTCCAACTCTATGATTCTATGATTCTAATACCCAAGCCTATTGACCATTTTAAAAAGCACTCCTTCCCCCCACTTGCACTCCAAAGTGCTGCTTTCTCAGGAAGCTGCCACCCCACAAGGCTTGTCAGGAACTTGGGATTGCGCTGCACCAAGGTACTTCAGTCCCTTTGGGTCTCTAGGTAGGGAGGGGAAGAAGCTGTTGACCCCTTAAGCCATCTCTGCCCCATCCTGCATTCTGCCTTCAGCCTCCATCTTGGCCATGCCCACCCCTAGCCAGCAAGGGGCACCTACTGTGGCCAAACTGCCTGGGCATCACTGTGGACAGCCAAGCCTTTTGGATTACCTGGGTCTCTGGAGATTAGCACTTGAGGCTGCCATCCTAAGCATATTTGCAAGGAATTAAATTGAGTTTCCCTCTGAGCAAGCGTGCTTACAGATAGAAAGTCCACATCTGGGTCTGTATTTATGTATAAATAAACTCTCATTGAGTGGTACTCCAGAAAACAAAGTTTGGTAGCAGTATCAAGCACTGAGGCAGAATATATTAGCCTATCTCTAGCCTGTAATGAGGTTGATCTACATCAAAATTTTCCAGAAACTGTAACCATATTTGAGGATAATTGATCACGTATAAGTATGACTGAATTAGAAAATGTAGACCTAAAACAACACTTAGATATACGCCATGCACATGTGAAAGATTGCATTTGAAAAGGGTGGATGAATCTCAGGTATTGTTCCACTGAGTTTATGTTTGCAGACATTTTCACAAAGCCTTTGACTTCCCCCTCCCCCTCCTGCATGGCAAGAGATCTTGTAGTATCTGTCTTTGGGTTGATGCTGTGATAATGCAGTGTGTAATTCCCCAGTGTAACCTTTGCCAACCTACTGCCCGCCCGGTTACTGTAGGCTCTCCATGTCTGTGTGTGGCTTCCAAAACCTTGCACTTTTCATTCGTCTTCCAGCCTATACCGAGGACCTGGGTGCGGTTGGTGGCGCTTGCCTGGAAGAGGACGCCAGCACCCTGCGGCTGGACGAAGACAGCGAGCACCCCCCAATGATCCTTCGGACGGACTGAACTTTGACCTGTGAACTCCACTCCTGAAGCCGAGGACGCAGGCCTGACCCTCTGGAGGATTATTGTGTCTGTGCTGCTACGAACCTTGACCCGGGCTGAGAGCAAGAGGGAGGACGGCGGACGACTCTGAAGTCATTTTAAAACAAACACACACACAAACCATTGTAGCCGTAATGCTGATTTGATGCCATGGAGGTGGGGGGGGGTAGGGTGGGGGGGAATATATGGTGTCACTTCAGTGGCTTTTAAATCCTGCTTTACCTTTTAGCTGTGAGGATATATGCATATATATTTTCCGTCGTTGTTCCTGTTGCCAAAACCTGCTCTCTCTGTGCAGCCTTCGGCACCTCCTAGCTTTGCATGTTGCCTTGTGCCAAGCAAGCAGATCACTTCATAACAAAGAAGTTTGCCGAGTTCTGGGGTTTTCTCTCTCTCTTTTTTTTTTTAGAAGACAAATACATGTACATAAATGACACTTGGCATCCATGAAGGGAGGAGCAGCAAAGTTTGCTTCTGGGTGCTTTGACTTCTTCCAGTGCTCTTCAGCCTTACCATCCCCAGATGTGGGTAGACTACCACTTCCATCGTCCATGGCCAGCTTGGCCCGATGGTCATGGATGATGGGGCTTGTAGTCCCTCCAAATCTGGGTGACCAAGGATTTGAAGGACATTGGCTTATTCTACTCGGACAAAGGTTCCAGGTAGTTTCTTGCGCATGGGCTTTCGGTTGCAACTCCTAGAAACGTGCAGCGATCTCTCTCTATTTTTCTTTTCTTGGGTTCTTCCCATCACACAACCTCCCCCTTCCTGTCCAGCTTCACAGTTTATTCCCTCCTTTCTTCCCCGCCTCCTTCTCGCCTCCTTTTTCCCTGGACCATTTTGTTAATTAAAAACTCCTTCTAAATGCTGCCTTGCTTGTGGGACTGTTGTGTTCTCTTCCGCAGAGGTGATGGTATGCCTCTGCTCTGGATCTCGCTTCTTTCTCTCTCTTTGGGGACGTGAAATGGAGAGAGTGACCAATTCAGGCTGGACATTCTTTGGGAGCAGGGGAATCTTCTCCCTTCTGTTCTGTCTTTGTCCGAAAGTAGGGTCAGAGTGTTCCAGTTTCAGAGGTGTTGGCCAGTTAACTCAGAAAGCATCTTCATCCTTCGGCCCTTCACGTCCATCTGCTCATCTTGCTTCAATCCTTGCAAAGCCTTGCATCCTCCTTCAGCTGGAGCTCTCTTCACAATCTGTCAGCCCTGCTCTCATGACTTCTCCCTCTCCAGAGCCACCTTCAGATGGCCACTATTTGAGCTTTCCCCGAGTTCCTCCAGGGCGAATTGACATGCAGAGCCGCTGTCGAAATCCGCCGCCCTGTTCCTGGTACTCTCCATCTGCCTTCACACCCTGCACTGTGGTACCACTTCAGTCAGTCATGGCTCCCCCCCCCCCCCAGAATCCAGGGAGCTATAGTTTGTTGAGGGTGCTGAGAGTTGTTAGGAAGCCCCCTTACAGAGGTACAATTCACCAATGGTTGCACCACTCTGAGAATTGCAGGTCTGCAAGGGGAGGGGGTGGTCTCCTCCCAGCTCCCAGAGTGCTTTGAGGGAAGCCATGCCTGTTCCAAGTGGTATTGTAGCGCTTTAAATGCATGGTGTGAATGTGGCCTCACTCCGCAGCCCATAGTGGGGCTTGGGGGATGGATAGCATGGGGTACCGAAACATGGGGCAACTTCGGCCATGCATCACTGGAGAAGGGAGTGCTTGTTTCTGTTTCCAGGGTTGGCCCTGTGATCCAGCATGTAGTTGTGATTCTAGTCAAGGACCCCAAATCTCCCTCTGTGGCTGCACACCTGCGCTACAGCTCATGCACCTGTGTCTCAGTCTTCATCCCAGACCTCTCAACCTCCAATTCTTTATGTAATCTCCCACCTCCCAGCCGCTGGAACAGCAGTTCCGGCGTCAGGAGGAGGGGCAGGTTTTTGTGGAACTGCAGGGACTCATGAGGAAGTGACCAAAGCTGGGCAAAACTGCCGCCCTCTTTTACAGAGCTGTAATGTGCCTTTTTTGGTTCTTAACCCTCCAGTTTGTTTTCAATGAGCAGCAATGTTTGTGTGGGTGTGTGCGTGCAAACCCTTTGGGTGTGAACCTCTTGTTTTCCTTAGATTGTCAGCCAGCTTTCTTTTTTCTTTTTTGATTAAATTATTACTCACTCTCCCTTTTTCGTGGCGTTCTCTTCCAGGCAATGAAAGAATCGTGAAACCCAATACGATGGCATTCTCAAGGAAGGGAAAGTGGGCTTGCCTCAAGGGGGGGGGGACATGCCCGTGGGTTTCTCCCTCCAACGGGGGCTCACTTCCCTCCCAAACTGCATTCCAGGCTCAGTTCAGACAAGAAAGAATGCTCTTTGTAAAACCGAGAGAGCACCCAGGACACTTTGCTGCCCAGGTCTTTATTCCACCCAGCAATACTTGAGCAGAAACTAATATGAAGCATTGCTTTATAGTGGCTTGATTATTGGGCGGGGGCGGTTGCTTCAAATCTAGCAATACATTCCAAAGGGCACACAACATTTAGTGGTGTGCTTTTGTACCTTCCAGCATCTAGCAGTTTCTCGTCGTGCCACTAGATGGTAAACCTCTCCTGGTTTTTTTTTGGGGGAGGGGGCAGAATGCAGCTATAGACATCATGTGAAGTCATGACTGCACCACAGATTATTGGGAGGAAAACCCTGTTGCTCATACAGCAGCCATGGAAAGGCAGGTAGCGAGTCGGTGGTGCTATTCTGCAGAAGGATGTTTGCCAAGATCAGGGTGAGAGAGAAACGGGAGGAAGGCAGTGCTTGTGTGAGCAGCAGATGCAGGCCGTGGGCAAGGCCTGGGGGCTGTAAGCCCCCTCTTCTGACCTCTCCATGTGACCCTCGGAGCACCTCCCAGGCCAGATGCCCCACAGGCTTTGCCTTTCAGGTGTCTTGTCTACCTGGAAAGCAGTGGCAAAGCATGGGTTGCCAGCATCCGGGGCAGAGCAAATATCCTTGGCACTGCTCACCGATAGACTGGAACAGGGGCCGGCAACCTAAGGCCCACTGGCCGGAAGCGGTCCACGGAGGCCGTTTAACCGGCCCACAAGTCGCCCCTGAACCAAGCC